GTCGGAATGAAGTGTTCTGTTGCCATGGAAACTGTAGAATCAAGCTTTAGTGATGCCATACCCCGAATTATGACATCAGGTAGCCATGACAACATGTGTGTGTGTGTGTGTGTGCTTTTATTAACGGTCGCCACATCTCGGCCACTTTCATTAACGGTTACCACTTCGGGGCCGCTTTCATTAGCGGTGGCCACGTCTTTCATTTTTCCATCGTTTCATTCGACTCATCAGTGAATTATCCAGCACTATATTATTTTTACTCTTTGAAGTGCTTCTCCTTTTTTCAGGTGCATTTGTTCCGTCCTGTTCACAGAACTGCTCTGCTACCTGAGAAGGTCGATAGGTTTGTGTGTTTGTGTGTGTGGAGGGGACGCCCCATTCTCAAAAGGCTGAGACTGAGAATGAAGTGAGAGATTTAAAGGCATGAAAAAATACACGATAACCGTAAAAAGACATCTTAAAGAAATGTTGAATTTGCGCTATAGTTCTTCAACATTAAATGAAATAATAAATAATAACTATATATAATTGTATTGAGTTATTGGCAAATGAATAAATCCACAGATATAAACAAGAAAAAAAGTAAAAAAAAATAATAATAATAAAAAGTAAAAAAAAGTCATAGATAGAAAAAAAAATTATAGAATTCAAGTGTTCTTTATTTAATTGACACTAACAAACATAATTAATACAAGTGCACGTTAAATACTTTGTAAACATTGTTTATGTGTTAATAATGTTGATGTTCATGGTTTGTTAATGTTAATAAATGTAGTAATTATTTTTCAAAGCATTACCAAAACAATCACAGCAAAACAAGAAAGAAAGTAGGAAAGGAAATGCAAAAAACTTGGACTCTTAATTTATAAGACAGGGACCTCAAGCATCTAGAAGATGAAATGTTCATTACACAATTATATATCTAATGATGTAATTTCTACAATAAAACTGAACTGCTTTCCCTGTTATTTCCATTCACATTTTAAGTTCGCCCTTTATTATTATTTGAATCCAAAATATCCATTGATTTGCCATAAGCCTACAAAACAATATCAATACAATGTTTAATTATCCTCGCCAAGTTTAACAAAATGTGCGGTCTAGTTCAGCTTACCTTAAATAGAGTGCGAGTAGTGTTAAACAGAAGCAGAAATCAGCCCATCAGGGAGTTTTAGCAAAATTAAGATTAGTCTCCCAAAGGGAGAAAATATATATTTCATATATATTTACAAAATATGTTTTTGCAATATATGAAAATTGCCAAAAATCTATTTCTAAAATATACATTTAAAATGCATTTATTTGTATTTGTTATTATATTTTCAATTGTATGTCATTATAATGAAGGTTAAAGATGTAAATAAATATACATGAACTGAATGAACAGTACTGACTTCTGTGTTTTTCATTGTACTTTGCATTAAGACACTCACATAAAATGTATGCCAAATAAACAAGATATCAGATTGTCAAACTACCTTTTCACAGTGTATCAATATCTACAACACTTGCCTTTGTCCTGTTAAAGGTCCTTTTACCAACATTTACAATTAAGATACTGGAGCACAAATTCATTCATACAAATTCACTTCAAAAGGTTTCCAAGTAGTAAAGTACATTAGACAGTATTATATTTTGGCAATGTTCATACATTTACATACATGTATTTTTCTATAGAACATTTATGTGTGTAATATTTCCCCGCAAATTTTAACATGAGTGCATTTTAAAATATATTTACTGATATTATTGATATGGCAATATATTCTAAAATGCATTTTTGTGTTTGGAATTTATTTTGGCGTAGATTGCAATTCATCTGAAATGTAAATGTAAATTTAAAAGCAGTGGTGGACGAAGTACAAAAATCATGTACTTGAGTTAAAGTAGAGATACCCAAGGTAAAAAATTACTCCAGTAAAAGTAGAAGTTCCTCCCTTTAGATCTCCACTTGAGTAAAAGTACAGAAGTATTTGCCTTCAAATGTACTTAAGTATCAAAAGTGAAAGTACTAAAAGATTAATTATGACTCTGATGTCCTATTACCATTTTTGTAACAAGACTCGCTTCATTAACTCATTTTAGGTGAAAATACTCCAGTGTCACTCTAGGTAAACCAGTCTTTTAATAGAATGTCATCAATAAGTCTGATGCTGACATCTATTAAAATTATCATAAGCACAAAACACTGATGGCAAACAATTTCCATTAGGTGTCCATGAAATAACTTTTTGCAAACAAACAAAGTTTCAGTTTAAGATTTATTTGCAACTTAGTTACAAGTTTAATAAAAACTTGCTTTAAACTCAGCTTCACAAATGAGTTTCCTTTACTAAACTGCATCTGTAGGTCTCTGTTAATAAACATAAACTAGCCAAAACAAATTTACCATAAAATGAAATAGTGTTTGTATAAATTCAGAAAAAAGACAGATGCAGTCACAACTGCATATGTGTACATATTTCTATATTGTGGTCTATTTACACAAAGTTAGTTTAGTTCCATCATTTATGTTGAACAGACACTCCCAAAATTTTACTATAATAAACTAAAATAAATACTCACAAAAACAATAGAAAATAGAAAAAATAAAGACCACAAATTCACAAAATAACCCAATTAATCACTAATGACAGAGTAAATAAAGAAACATGTTCTCAATGAAATAAGCTTAAGGAAACTAAATGCTTGTCATGTCTTTATGGGCGGCAGCAGTTGGCAGCAATTTTGCAGCATGCAAAGAGCATTTCCTTTCAAATAAGTAGGTCAATATATTTATCACTTGCAAATTTGAAAGGTATATTTGTCTCAAATGATTTGATTGTAATTGCTTGTGCTGTAGACACGGTCACATCTGTATAGTACAGTTGGTTACCATAAACAATAGTTAAATTATCAAATATTAAATTATGTAATTAAAAAGCAGACTGTCAGACCAATGGAAACACATCAAAATGATTTTCCATGGTAATTGTCAGTATGCTGCAGATATACATTTGCCTGAAATATTGATGTTTTACTTTAGTTCATTTATGCTTCGCAGTTTTTAGTGTACTAGTCTGCTGGACCTGTGTAGCTCGGTATATTAGCCATACAACATCGACTGAAAAGCAAGAGGAAGGTTGTTGGCTGTACTGATGAGTCAAAGTGAAGCCTTTATTTATTTATTTATTTTTCTTTTCTGTTACTTTTTTTCTTTAACTTCTAAACGATCTAAAGGTATAGCTAAAGGTATACACAATCTCCTCCAAAAGTATTGGAACGGGAAGGACAATCCTGTTGATTTTGCTATACAATGATGACATTTGGCTTTGAGATCAAAAGATGAATGAGTTGATGGAATTTCAGCTTTTATTTTTTGATATTTACCTCACCTTTCTCTCTGTGTACCTTATCTTCATTACCTCCATAGAATCAGAGTTGACTACTGCAGAAAGCCACCAAAAACAGACAGCAGTAGAAATATTAGAGGCCATGTGTGTAGACAATATGCTGCTGATTTTCTTTTTCAATTAGCATTAATAAAAAAGATGTTTTCGGATTATTCCCAAGCACAAGTTGGTACAACAGGCTTTGATGTGGACCAAATCATAAATTACAGTTCTTCTCTGTTAAACACCTGCCTCCATGTATTATGCTAATAAGTCACAATTTTTATATTTACAATTGCTGAGGCTTGGTCCTAACAGTTGTATACTTTCACAGTTATAAATTAAATAAATGAGTGCTGTTATTTCCCAGAGGAAAGTGCATCATTCTTAAAATAAAAAGCAAAACAGTTCTTAACATACTGACTTGCTTACCAAAAAGCACAATGTGAGATGGTCATGACAACCTTTCTCTGTGTCACTGTATCTACCTTATTTTCATTACCTCAGAGGTGGTTGCAGCAGAGTGCTCCCCAGAAGAGACGGCAGAGGAGATATTAGAGGCCATGTGTATAGATGGTATGTTTCCATTTTCCAACTTGGCATTAAATTGCACACAACACATTTTATTCCATAAACCAGTTATATTAATGCAGTAATTAATAAAATTACTGTTTTTGTGTGCACAGGTCAGAGAAGTGGAGCTGTGTGCAACCCTGCGGACAGTAGGCCAGTGACCAGTACAGCTAAAGGTATTTGTAGTTGTCAGTGTGAACATTATGTAGATTTTCTGCACGTTTACATTACATGAGTTTATCCTTTTCCAAACTTTAAAAAGTGTACATTATTCTCATCAGCCTTATTAATAAATGTATGGCTCTTGTACATTTTCTTCTTCAAAGTTTTAGAACAGATTAAAAACATTTAACATCATAAAACATCTCTAAACATGCTATTTTTAACATTACATGTATATAATTCTATGTCTAAAAATTGGGTTGAAAATGGGGCATTAGTCCACTAAACAATGGTGTGCTCAGAAACTGGCTATGCTGATGGGTTAGAGCAGAGGTGGTGAACGGTGCAGCCTTGGAAGGCTGGTGTCCTGCAAAGTTTAGTGTGGTGTGTGTGTTTTTTCTGCTGTAACTCTCTTACTAAACATGGCAGTTAGCTCCAGACATCACCAGTCTGCATGGGTTGTTGTAAGTAACCACGTAGGCATCGGTAATTATGTAGCTACGCTGGTGATGCGGATTTCAAACATGGATTCAGAAGTGATGGTGTTGCCCTCTTACCCTACAAATTCTTAAAAATTCTTTGGCATAAGCATGAATCTTCTTGAAGGCATATCTTCCGTCACTCTGGGTTTTACCTTGTTGTTCCTTCTCATTGTGAGTGACACGAAAGACACTTTGAAAACCTTTTTGAGTGGCCAGAGCTGTCCAGATTGAGACACATCTGTAAAAATCCAATTGGAATTGAATTTTAAACCTCCTCCAAATGTGGTTTGGAGCAGATTCACAAAAATTGTATTTCATGTTTTTGTTTTTTTTGCTGTCCAGACTATCAAAAATAAACCTGGATGCAATCTGAATATGGCAAAAATTGGATTTAGGCTGTCAGTCTGAAAAAAATCTAAGTACACTTCCTTGTATCTAAACTCTTTTTCCATCTTATCAGCTCCACTGACCATATAGGAGCACATTGTAGTTCTACAGGTACAGACTGTAGTCTGTCTGTTTCTCTGCATACTTTGTTTCAGCCTGAGCAGGTGTTAATTGTTCATGTTAGTTCTTAAATCTGTCACTGCTGGACTGAATAATCCACCAAACTGTGACCACTCATGAAGGACTAGAGCAGGGGTGTCCAATCTTATCTGCAGAGGGCCGGTGTGGCTGCAGGTTTTCACTCTAACAAAGCAAGAGGTCACCTGATGAAATGCTTGAAGACTAGGGCCTAAATCCATTTCTTCTTTTTACCCCTACCCCTTGTTTTCAAGTGTCACCCTAACCCCTTGGAACAGAGTTACAATGGGTAGTGGTTGAAATCTTGCCCTACGAAATGGGACAACCCTCCAAAAAAAAAAAAAAAGACCACCACTGCTTCATTAACAGGCAACTAGTGCGACCCAGCCTGTCTTCAGTGATAGCAGAGAAGGGAAAAGTTCAGCAACCTCCTGCTGGGCTTTTGTTACATTTAGGGCGTCATATGCCTTCAAAGAGGGGGGGGATAAGACTATTACTTATTATCGTCCACACCTAATTCTTTAGTGATAAGAAGCTGAAGTCAGATATTCACCAGCTTCTTGTTTGAATTTTCACATTCCACCTTAAATGGTGCAGCAGTTACATTCTGGTGCTTCAGGTGTCAGAACTGCTGGACTAGTTAAGGTGTAACGGGAAAATTAGCTAGCTAGCTACCGTGACATTAGCATACTTTAGCAATTTTTTTATGCTCATTATAAGGAAAACAGCCATAATACATTGAAATGTCATTAAACTAATAATACAATGATTATCGTAATTTAAAGAAAAACAAAGAAAATGGGTTTCTTTGGTCGCTCGCGCAGCCGTCTTGCCAGTTTTTCTTGTTTCTCATAACACTCTGTTTGGAGTGCCTCTGAAAACCCTCCGTTTGGAGGGCTATGTAGCTCTAACACTTTGCCCTACCCCTCTATCTCAAAAAAAATTGGGACACCCTACCCCTAGACATGAACATGCAAAACAGAGGGCTAAGGGCTGAGTAGTAGGGGCAAGGGGTGAAATGGGATTGGGCCTAATACCAACTGTTTAGACAAGTAGAATCAGGTGTGCTCCAGCTTGTTTGGAGTGAAAATCTGCACCCACACCGTCCCTTTGCAGATAAGATTGGACGACCAGGATGACCAGCACAAACTGTGCAGCAACACATGAGCTCCTATCTCTGACTTCACATCTACAAGCTTGACCAACAAGGTAGGAAAGTGGACAGTGAGTGGACACAAAACTCCAGCAGCACTGCTCTGTCTTATCCACTCTTACCAGTGCCACACACACCAATACACCACCACCACTTGCTGAGAACGACCCCACCACCCAAACAACACCTGCTCTCTGTTACAAGGTGTGCTAAATAAAATGGCAGATTTGTAACAATTGATTAAAATGTACATTAATGCTCTACGTATAAGAACCCCCCACCCCAAAATTGTGGTATAAACTGTAATGCCCTTAGTAATTGACACTACTTTTTTTTTCCCCTTGTATTCTTAAGGAAATCGTGTTAGTGTTTTTTCCCCCCTCTTTTTTATCTCCACAGGACAGAAAAATGAAGCCCTGTGCAGCCCTGCAGACAGTAGGCCAGTTCCCAGTGAAGATGAAGTTATCATTAATTGTGAAGGATTTATTTGTACACTTTATACATTGATGCACTTGCATATTTATGTTGCAAATTAAAATTAAGTATTTGCTACCATGTATTTGTTTAACCTTTCAGATTCAAGCAACCTTTGCTGCATCTGCAAAAACCACTTTGCTGACGAGAAGAAGAATGCTACAATGAAGTGGCGCTCTGTGTTCTGTCTGTCAGTTATGGTCACATACTGCCTCTCATTTCAAACAAAATGTGTTATCTCTGCCAGCGCAAATGAATTCTAATGACTTATGGAATTACCATGTAACATGTTCTGCTTCATTTAATAACATAGCTGGACTTTAGTACATGTTCACAAAGGCTAAAATAAGATCAACAGAACTATAAGCCTGTTTGCACTTTACCTGGTGTTTTTCCGCTATTAAATTTCTGTTTAAAGAAATTAGTAATAAAGCTGGTTTGGTACATTGAAAATGTTCAGTTGCTTCAGTTCTAGCTTTGCAGATGAGTTGTCCTCTGAAGTCACTGTCAACATCTTTCAGGCTAGACTGGAAGTTTGAATTGCATTCCTGCCATCTTCTTTCAATACAGTGTTTTTTCTCCAAATTCAGCAAAGATGCCTCAAGTCTACAATGACCAATAGGTTCATATTATTCCATGGCACAAATTTGTAAACAGAATCTGTAAAACGTATTTGGTTTACTTACTCTGCTTTATCTGCCATACACGATTGATCACCCCCAGACCTGCAGTACATAATCAGGATAACAATGAGACAGACGATCAAAAACATTACTGACAATGAGAGCCTTCTAGTTCACTTGCCACATCACTTCCATTTGTTTTATTAAAAAAAGATATCGGAAGTAAATTCATTATGGATCATTACAAATACTTTGCTTTAAAAGTACCAAGTCACTTTAAATAACAATAACACCAAGTTACTTAGTCACTTTAAAATGTATATTGTCCCTATATTCTGTGTATATTTAATATTTTTCAGTTGGTTTTTCTTGTATTTTTATTTTTACTTATTTACTTTCTGTAGAGTGATTAGCTGAGCCTCACCACAAGCATTTCAATGCATAAATGTCCTGACATGTTGTGCAAATGACAAATAAACTTGAAACTTGAACTCGAAACTTGAGCTCACACGGTGAGAAAACAAATGCTATATAGAAAAAAAGATGCATCGAGATGCAGCGATAATCGTTTTATAATCGCATCGCAGCCCTCTGAATTGTAATCGAATCGTGAGGTGCCTAGAGATTCCCACCTCTACTTTTTATGCATTTGTTTAGTTGCTTCAATTGTAATGTATGTATGGTGTTTTCACAATCAAAATACTTATTGACAAGATAAAAACAGGTGCTTAGGTCTCTGACACATTTGCACAGTATTGGAAATGGAGTAACAACAACAACAACAACAACAACAACAACAACAACAACAACAACAACTACAAACTAACCCACTACACTCACAAAGCCTATAATTGGAATTGATTACTTTATACATGGTTGTTGGGTTATTGCCATAACCCTTTGATTTGCACATATTCTTTAATGATAAAAATAGAAAGTATTTACTTTTAGGCTTTGGTTTCTGTTGGGCAAGCTCAGTCTCTGTCTTCTTCCATCTCTCCATGTCTCGCTCAGTAATCAACACTAGAATTTAACAAAAGTAAAGAACAGAAACTGTCAAGGTGGCATACTCAACTCTGCACGCAGTGTGTCCATAAGCATGCGACCCATTCTGAAACTGAACACTCATTGTTTGACATACGTATTGTATGTGCAAGGTTTACCTGGTGCCTCTTTGATTACTAATGAGATTTCTTCAGCAGCAAGAACAGACATTTTCTCTGCCTTTTCAACTCTCTGCAGGAGCTGCATGTTATAAAATTTGTGACTGGACAGACAATAAAACTAAATTCAAAGGGGACCTATAATGCTCATTATTAATGTTCATAATTTTATTTTTGGGGTCTAGTAGAATAGATTTAAATGTTTCAAAAATAAATAATTTTCCTCATACTGTATATTTCTATTCAGCTCTGCCTCCCAGTGAGCCCAGTGTACTCTAATTGGTCAACTCACCAACTCCGCTCCAACAAGTGAACCTCCAGAGCGGTTCCACCCATCTTGCGGTCTGCAGACCAGGGCATGCAGAGCAAAGAGAGGCCACAGCAGCAGACAGCATTCACATGAAATTCTTCCCACAGGGTTGTGCGGAGGCGTTAGACCATAACCGCCGTGAAACAATCAGAGGAAGTTTTATTCCTCTGAAATTACTGCCTTGTCTCACTAACATTGCTCCCTCTCTTCATTCAGTCTCTAGCTTGCTCGACCACCACTGCGCTGTCTGTCAACTTTGAATGGTGTTTAAACAGCAACAGAAATCCAGCTCATTCTGCCTTTAAAAAGTCTAACGTGACACTGTCTCCCATGATGGGCTGGTTCTCACTGTTCAGTGGGGAGCGAAGTACAGTTTAGGGCAGGTAGTGAAGTTTGCGCACAACAATAAAAAGAACAGCTCAAACAGTACGATTGGGCTCCTGCTGAAAAGAACTGAGTTGTTCACAAACGTAACATCACTAGCAGACAGACCCTTCTCTCCTGAGCAGCTGTAGATACCGGTGTGGTATCTACAGCTGCTCGTATCGATGCTCTTCTGCACTTCGCAAAGTTCCGCCTATTGTGTTCTGTCAACATTATGTTATTAAAATTTAGAAAATCGATTTGATATTTGTGAATCGATTTAGAATCATCCACGTCCGCATCGCGATGTATCTAAGAATCTACCCCCCCACCCCTATAACACACTAAAGGAAAGGGAAAAAAAATCTAAAAGGATAATAGGTCCCCTTTAAACTACTACCAAACTAAATTTCTGACTGAGTAAATTAGCTGACAAACCATGCATAATGAAGAAGGGCATCTGTAAGCAGATCCAGTCGGTGAGATGGAGTCATCTCCTTTGTTACTCTGGCAAACCTTCTGAGGAACGACCACAGTCTCTCCATTCTTTCTTCATCTGTAAGTCCAAACCCATCAAGCCGTCGGGTGCTATACATAATCTTTAAGTAATAAGTATTGAGGTTTTACATACAGTAAGCAAGTAATATCAGAGAGTGTTTAAAACAGACTACAAGATACAGAAGTGATTTAAGGTTACATTTAACCATTAACCAACTACATTCAGTTTTAGGCAGCAAATAATTTACTTACACGCATATGTGAGGCAACAACACATGCATATGTCATAGACTACATGCAGACGTATGTGCTTGTCCTCACATCTTTGGAGAAGCTCACTGATGACATACAGGGGATAGGCCAACCTATGTCAAAAGGAAAAAACAACACACCACACACACACACACACACACACACACACACACACACACACACAGGCATTGCAAACAGTTAAATGTACAATGTAGTTAATTCTTCTACAGGAACAGGCTCTCTTTACTTAATAAAATGTCAAAAATTGTACATTTTGTACGAGTCATATCACATAACTGCTTTAAAACCAGCCAGACTGGCATTTCTTGCAAAAATTTGTGTTGAAAGATCATTTGGCTAAATAAATGGTTTAAGTCTTCGAACATGGTGTAGCAGTCCCCACTAACACCACTGTCTGGGGCTTTTTACACAACTTTTTCAACGGTTTACTGAGAATGGAGTGAAATGCAAGAAACTAACAGTGACAAGTGATCCTGTGAACATGGACACCTTACGGATCACAGGGCTCAAAAGAAACTGGCAAAGACTGCAAACAGATAGGCCACAAGCAGGCAATTTGCATCTGAAAACAGCCCTGAGTTGCAGAATGTCAGAATGCTCTACTTATCAGACTATATACCTCAGATGTACAGCTAGAGAACATATCAGATGCCTATGTCAGCAAAAAGCAAGATTCTAGCACATATAGCAGGGTCAAAACAAGCATTAATGAGTGGAATGAAGTTGCCTGTTTAGCTGAATTCAAGTTCCGTTCTCATCATGCAGATGAAAATATCAGAAATGAGTGCAAAAAACATAGGAACCTAAAGTTATCCTGTTTGTCATCAACAGTACATGCTGGGGATGGCTGCATGATGGTATAGCAAACATTTTTCTTAAAAACATTAGGGCCTGTGATACCCACTGAACAGCAGGACCATCTATACATTTCTATTGACCAACCATGAAAACACAACCAGATTAATTAATAACATTCTTCAGGTCAAAATGTATAACAACTTACTAGATAGATATACATAAACAGGCAATCCCAGTGTATAAACAATTCACTGTATCACAGATGTTCATTTTCCATGATGTGGATCCTTTAAACAAGGGCTGTCTTACCTCTGCAAGTGTGAGGCTGCTTTTCCATCGCAGTGTATTACAAAAGCCATCAACTGAAACCTGACACTCCAGTGACAAAAATATAAACAGCTCTAGAGAGAGAGATTGAGAAGGCTGTCTGAGGCTTTTCTGCTGTTGCTGGCCAGAGTCCATATCTTACTAGAGTGCAGACTTCAGGTTCACACTCGCATAGAGTGATGCTGACGTTGCACAGTCTGCCTGTTGGAATAAAAACAAGAAATAAGGATTTAAATGGTATCAAAACCAATGTTAAGTAGACCAGATCAATCTGTTGAAAATCACTTTAGATATCAACAAGAGCCCAAGGACTGCTACTGGTACAACTGATGATTAATTTGATCAACTACTGCAATGTTTGCTCTACATTCCATAAGATCAAATTACTTGTCCAGAAACAACTAAATGTAACATTAGTGAAGATGGCTCGAAGTAGGCATTCTGTTTGTGAGGTGGGGGGTGAAAAGAAAGAACATAATCTCTTCACTATATTACAAAACCACAACAATCCCCAATATCAACTGATAGCTAATGCCATAAAATAATGAAATTGAAGTGTGTATGTGCATGTGTGAACATTATTTTTCTTACATTCCACTTTTCAGGTAGGTGCAGCAAATTTCTGTGTGACTTTCTCAAACACGGCTCACAAAAGACTGCTGTGTGACTGCAGTCTAAGCATCTAAAATCAACATGTTCTTAGCACACAACACACTGATTAGTGGTTAGAGCCGAACATTCAAACGCCACCTTAAGCATGTCATCCTTGACTGCATCCCAGGCATTGAGCTCCTTCCTCTTTGCCTTTGTGTGTGCAGTCTCAGAACAATTACTACTCTGTGGCATTTCATCGGGCAGCTCACCATGATAGGGTGAAGTACATCTGGTTCTGTCTGAAGTGGTGAGGCTGGAAAGGACGTCACTTACATAAACCTTCTCAGGACGAGCATCAAGGTACTTTTTCAACAGCTTTACCTTAAATTTCCTGTAGCACTGGCTTTTCCCTTATCTGAAATGAACAGATATAAATAGTTAAACTACATTTTAGTGGCATATCTGGCTTATATTAACCACCATATTAATAATGACAATTAGCTATTGTAAGATTACAAAGCATACTCAAAATGCCAACTCAAAGCAGCCAGTTTATGTAATACATTTTGTTTTTAAAATATTGCAGAATTTGCTTTGATAGCTTGTTGCTGATACCTAATTAAACACTAAAGAATGCCAGAAGTATACTAAAATCTTTACATAAACAGGGACTTGTGTTAGTTTCATGATAAGAGCCAATATTAAACCCCACAACTGCAGGCTAGTTATTTATCTGATGATCTCAAATTACAGAAATTCTTTTAATCATACGTTGATAATGGTATGTCTATTATTCCTGAAACAGACAACATTTTCTATACAGTGTTTAATCTAACATTTCATAGAACTTACCTTCAGCAAGACAGACAGAAGACATGCTAGTTACAAAACCTAAAAGCTTAGGTCTAAAAACTTAGATCAAGTCTACAATATGTTAAGATGAGCACTTCAGTAAAGTGAAAGTGGACCATCTTTTGTAAGAACACAGAAGGGCTGCTGTATCTCGATAATGTGCTGCCTTCACATGCAGCACAACTTTACAAACGTTAGCACGATTAGCGACACAGCTAGTTAGCGTTGGCAGTATTCAGCCGAAAGAAGCAGCTGAACGCTCGCGTTACAATTAGTTAGCATTAGTTTAGCTTAGCTTTGAGGCAAGCGGTAGCTGGATAAAGTTACTTCAACTGCATCAGATTTAAAAGCAGCCATTTGAACAGAAAGATGCATTTTTTCAGCTGATTTAATTAAAAAACCGCGAAAATGCAGCGCTACAGCGAAGGCAGGGCCTTCAAATGACAGGCAAACCACACGATTCTTTTCATACCCAGCTTTTCACCGCGCCTCTCCGTGCTGTAAAGTCATAAAACGCTCAGAAACACATATTTTACATCATACTGTGGATTTCTGAAACTCAAACTGCTAAAATCTGACGGCTTGTTCTGACAGACAAGATTAACTGGCTAGCTAAGGTTAGCTACTTAGCTTACGATGCTACATGAACAAGTTAGCTGTTAGCTAGAAAGCTAGCTACTAACCTAGCTAGCTAGCTAGCACGTTGTCGCCTTAGGCGACGGCCCACTTGTATCGCGTATCCGTGAAAAAGCAAATTAAAGCAAAACAACAAACCAATGCTATTTTGTCGCTATGGGCGAAAATGGTCGAGAACCGTGCGCTTCAAAGGCGATCACAACAACACCAATCCTACTCAAATGTTTGTTTTAGTTAGCTGTATTATGAAAAGATGCTCACCTGTTTGATGGCACTGCCGGAATGAAGCGCGTCCGCAAATCTTCGCGTTTCATTGGCTGTTGTCACTCGCAATTGGTGGACATCACTGGCTCCTTATTGGTCTGGTTGATGAACTATAGGAATAGATGACAACCACATGACAACTACATTCACCTTCTATCAGGTGCAGGAGGTCCGTACTTAACCATATCAATGGGCCTGCTGGCTACTGATTACGTCCATTGAATGGAGGGATAACATGCAAAGCGGGTGAAATGGACCGAAATACAAAGCGATCGTTTGCCTGTGGATCAGATCGGAGCTCATTCTTTATGAAGTGTTCGATTGTGGTGGGAAACAGATCGACGTGTAATAAAGTCAAATTAAAGACGTTTCATCCAGAACCAAGATATGGGCAGAGATAAAAAGTGCACGTGCAGCTTCAGAAAACATCAAAGCTCAATCGTTACCATTGTGAAGAGTTTGATTTTGGTGGGAAACAGATCGACCTGAAATAAAGCCAAATTGAAGACTTTGCAGCGAGAATCAAGAAATGGACAGAGATAACAGGTGCACGTGCAGCTTCGGAACACATCAAAGCTCATTCTTTGCTATTATAAATCCATCGTTTTTGGTGGGAAACAGATCGACGTGAAATAAAGCCAAATTATACACGTTTCGGCGAAAACCAAGAAATGGGCAGAGATAAAAAGTGCACGTGCAGCTTCGGAACACATCAAAGCTGATTTTTTGTCATTTTGACGCCATCGATTGTGGTGGGAAACAGATCGACCTGAAATAAAGCCAAATTAAAGACGTTTTTGCAGGAATCCAGAAATGGGCAGAGATAAAAGGTGCACGTGCAGCTTCGGAACACATCAAAGCTGATTTTTTGTCATTATGAAGCGTTCGATTGTGGTGGGAAACAGATCGACCTGTAAAAACTCAAATTAAAAACGATTTTACGGGAATCAAGAAATGGGCAGAGATAAAAAGTGCACGTGCAGCTTCGGAACACATCAAAGCTCATTCTGCGTCATTATGAAGAGTTTGATTGTGGTGGGAAACAGATCGACGTGAAATAAAGCCAAATTAAAGAGCTTTTTGCAGGAATCCAGAAATGGGCAGAGATAAAAAGTGCACGTGCAGCTTCGGACAACATCAAAGCTCACAGGCAACCGGAGCAATAAGGGCAAATCTGAAAGAGAAACAATCGAGAAAACAGGCAATGGGTTCAGTACACAGGACATGAAAATAGACGCTAACCGCTCAGTTACCAGCAGTGTGGCGATACCTCACAAAGAGGAGAACAAACCAGGATCCTTTTAAAGTCTAAGACAAGCAGC